GTCTACCAGTTGTCCAAATAAAATTGTCTCACTGTGCAAATTAAATTTTATATGCACTTTACTAGTCTATTCTTAACCCGAAAACCTGTTACTAATCATAACTATCTTCTTCAATCGAAACACCTACTACATTCTGTCTAACTAAATGAAGGTTATACTAAGATTACATGTAAACTAATGGCGTGATTATTGACCGAGTGAAAATTCCCTTTTTCATAGCGAATTACACAACAGTTACTATAGACCAATATAACAAATGCGAAAATTCTTATCTATCAAATAAATTCCAAATATCATTCCTTTGTAGGTTATTAATTTTGAGAGTGAATAATGTTGAATAATGTTAACTCTGTTTCTTACCTTTAATATTAGAATGTTTTCTTAATGTTTGTTATAAGAGAAATATTTTTTATGAAGATTATTCACCTCGAAATTAGCTTTTACAGGCTATAGAAGCAATAAAATTTGGGTGGCTGATCCTAGAACATTAGGGCAGTCTACATCACACAGGATCAAAATCAAACACCTAAAGATATCATTATAAGATAAGTATCATCAAATCACTGAATAAGGATCTATTTATTTTCGTTTTTAAACTTCATTTGGCGTTCTTGGTTATTGTTTGTTAATTGTAATATGTGTTTACGTAAACTTTTTTTATGTTTTCACATTAGGCTTCAACATACACAGTTGAAAAACAAATAAACTTATAGCTATCTTTGTTATAACAATAGCGGGAATTTATCGACTAAAGTTATTATTCAACAATTATCAAAAAATCTGTAAGTATTTCAACTAATTGACTAAGCCCTGATAATAGAAAAACAAACTGACTCATTTACCAAGTAATCACCTATGAATGTCAGGTCTCTCTGACCGAAACAGGTAGAGTAAAGAGCAAACATGTGGTTTAGTGGCTACAGCTCACTTCACAATCAATATTTGATGCGATTCTAATAAATTTTGAGAATTGCATCTGTTATACTGCTGCTACGTACCTATTCAAATCCTACTGACGTCCGAATTCAAATATTCCAATCCGACCTAAATGCTATTCCCAAATCTCCTATATATCAGAACACAACGCCGTTAGATGAAGTTGTTTAATGGGTCGAGTACAGTAGAGAGGAAGGTAGGAAGGAACAGAATGAAAAGCTTTGCAGATAACGCGTATTTATACATTTAGGTCGAATAGAAAATAGTATCAAAGTCTGTGACATTGACAGTTAAGACAACCAATAGGAAAGAACTTTTGAAATGACATGGACAGTCCGGACTACCAATAAAAAACAACATTGGAGTACGTGACGTTGATATCTAGGACGACCATAAAATTAACCAGTAGGAATTAAGCGATAATTCTCTTAGGATATTGGATGAATATCCTAACAGCATCACAATACAACAAAATAGGAGGATCCAGTTTCACTTTTCTGCGACAAAAGCAAAATTATAAATGGTGAACTAATTGCACATATCATGTTCACTCTATTTATAGCATAATTATTTTCATAAACTAGTTTACATACGTTGTGGACATGAAACTTACTAACAGTGGATTCTGTTACTTTTTTACACGTATACCGATCTAATATCCGCTAAATTAAAATTTTGTACTAGTGTAGTGTGAGTTTCTTATTAGATGTAGGTGCATCTTGTGTACTGCGTGTGATCACTGTATTAGGTATTCAAGTTATGAAATGACGCAATCACTCCTTAGTAATTCGTATTTTATACTTTCTTTCGTCATTCTCAATATAGTTTTTAATGCCAAAACATTTACAGTTCTCTTTCATTGGAAAAAAATTTAAGTTTTATGAAATACAGCTTACTTCGTTATAAAGTAAGCTGATATTTTGACAAGTTCCAAGATTAGAAATTCATGACGTGCATTAGAAATAATCATCTACGCAACTGAAATATTTGATTGTGAAGAAACAGAATAACATCGAACTGATGAGTAAACTTATATTCATCATTTATGAACCGATCGGTAGTGACAGTTGTTTATTTATGAAATAAAACTCATAACAAATAAAGTTAATCAGTATACACTGGATGATGTATTCTTTTGTTAACATAATCATTAAACAGATATTTATGTATCTAACTAAAACCAATCGGACAATACAGACAATATTACCAAGTAATCAAGTCTAAAAAATTAATGAGAGTATAGGGTATGATAAGAAATACTATTGATGCGTATGATTATTCAAATGGTTGAATAATTTTATTAAAAAGTTCACTAATCGTCTCAATCATATGGTCCATCTGAGTTTACTCTAAATATAAACACTTAATGAATGGAATACGCACAAATAATAACTGATTTAGTAGATTTAAAAAGAAAAAAACAGTAGAAATCAGTCCAGTTTTCAGTTGAATCATAGCTATCGTGAAGAGAGAAAACAACATTCACAAATATCTATAGGGTATTCACAGTGAAAATTGTTCATTTTGATTGAATACTAGTTATTTTCCTGAAATATTTATAGAATTTCTATTTTAGTCTAGATTTCCAAAAATTATAGATTGACGCTTAGATTGGTGGTAATTGAAACTGTTCAAAAGATAAATAATACTTTTGAGAACTGAATTATAGTAGTATTATTTTTTTTGTATTAATAATGAAAAATCTTATGTAATGCTTTAGAATTGTCTGATTGATTCGGTAGTTTAAAAGTTTCAATAATATGTGATTTTTGTGATTTACACAAAAATTAACTCATAATTAATTAATAATAATGTGGTGTTAGCTACTTATAAGTAGTATATGACGTGAGTGTCAACGTAATGTCTGGCAGCAGAATATGGGGGAATATCAAGAAAGGAAGAGTTAGATAACAATGGAATTTGTATGAAACGCATGAATAGTGACAATGAATTGATGTTTTGCAACAGGAACAGTCCAGTTCGATATGATGGACTGATAGTTTGCAAATTAACGATTTACGATATGGTTTTCCAATTTTACTGAGTAACGCTGTAATTTTCGTTAAATACAATTCGGTTGCCCCCACCTGTGTTCTCGTTCACTACAGTATTTCACAACTACTTATATTTTTGTGAATTACAGAAAAATTAACTCATAATTAATTAATAATAAGTGTGCACCATGAACTAAATTACATGTTGATCATAAATGAGGTAAAATATTAAACACTTGTTGGCATGTCATGTGTTTTTTACGTGTGTCATTGAAGCTGTTTCTATCTTTAAATGATATTTTACTCGTTAACAAACTAAACTAGTCATTACATTATCGCTTAATACTAAAAATGATTTCTTTTGAACTATGCAGAATCGATCAGACGCGTCAAACTCACTCGTCTAAATAAATTATAAGTAAACTGAAACTTGTACTTTCTAGACCCGATTCTTGATTAGGTAATGAATATCGAACACATGAATTCAATAAGTTGTCTTTTATTTTAGAAAAAAAATCTAATCTACTTTCCCCATATTTTATCCAGCTACCTTGAAAAAAATCTTCAAAAAAAAATCTCATTCATCGTTTTGATTTACTTTTATCAATACATTATATAATTCAGGTGAATAATCATTTTCATTTTAGTAGCGGTAAATGATTAATAAAATTGTTTGAACTATTCGTCGGTTCAAATTTGTTTCCTCGTGAAAATCAATAATATTGATGCAATTTTTAACGTACTATTTATGAATTTAAAATTTTATACTCTGGAAATAACTTAAAGTATATAAAATAAAATGACATATTTCTTTGTTGTTTCTGTAAAAAAAATAATTTATGTCTACATTTAGACAGATCAGTGTGAATTGATACACAATTTCGCTTTGATTGTTTCGCAACAGAAATAATATATCATTATATTTTAGGAGAATTTCAGTGTTTAAATTCAATTAAAATGATCGAAATTCACTTGTTTTTAAAAAAAGTATATCTACTCAATTTTGTCGCTAAAAATTAAAATAATACTAGATAATAAAAAAAAAACCAATCATTCCAAACGTTTGAGTTTAAAATTTAAAATTATTTCGATGTTAATAGTTCAGTCCATATATCTAACCTTCTACTCATTTAATTAAATTACCAGTATTTTATCAAGTTTGTGAGTTTTTTTCATGTGCTAAATTCAATGTCAAGTTTGATATTTAAAAAATATTTTTGAACGAAATATGATTTGCAACCTGATGATGGCATATGATCCGTATAGGCTAAACTGTTAAATAAACATTGTCAGCTGTAGTCCTAACAAATACACCTTAATTTTCTTTCATTTTCGTCAGGATTCTTTCAGTTATAAAACTTGTGGAGTTGTTATTTTAAGACTTTTAACAACAAAACAGATTTAAAACAATTATTCCTTTTGATAAATTTGTATTAATGCCTTCGTAAACGGTAACAACAGTATTAGATATCACATTCTACATTGATTAAAGCCATTTTTGGCCAACTACATTGTAATTCAGTGAAGTCCAACTAGTTGAATAAAAGCTTAGAAATTAGTAGAAATTCCAACTATCATGCGACAAATCCTATTCTTCTGATCTACAAACTTAAACACGAAAAGACAAATTTGAACCCAACTTTTGTTGGCTTTAGGTCTTTTTTTATAGATTTGTATGGTTTAAATTATGAAGCTGAAGTTTCACTGTAACACTGTTTAGAACGATTATGAAAAACTGAGCAACTGAATAGTTTAGTTCAAAGAACACAACTTCACTTCTTATTTTACAATATTAAACTTGAAACATCACCTTTTTCAACTGTAGCCTAAAACAATAATTGGCGGCAATGATGAACTAATATGGAACTGAACTCATTGATCTGTTTAATATTAAATTACGAAAATAAGAGTTGCATATCATGGAAGTAATTAAATACGATACTGAATGATATTAAACACGACAAACTATAAATTAACATTAATGAACATGTGAAATAAATATCATAATCATACAATAACACTATAACTGTTTTAAAAAATATACTTTTAAATTTAAAATCTAGTAATTACCATTTTTTCTTGTCTTGTCAAATTTTCAATAGTCAATAGACATTGGGATACAACTTGGCGCAAATATTGAATAAATTATCAAATACATCTGGTTTCGAATTTTGGTTATGAATATGCTTTTACATTCCATGAGTGAATAAATAACAAACAACATATTATGTCATCACTTTTATTAAGTTGAAAGATGAATGTCCTCTTTGTTTATTTTCAAATAGTCCTAATATATATATATGTTAATGATACATGTCTATAGATAAATGAATGACTGATTTATTCTACCAACTGCTTTTCATTTGTACTCTTAACAAAAAAAAACAATATTTCAAGCACTAGTTTTCTTAATTACTTTTAGTTTATGTGTTCTTATGTTAATTGACGCCCAATTATTACATGTCTATTGAAATTTTGAAATATTTATCGATACATATATGTACTAACAATAGCTATTTAATGTAGAAAGACATTCATATTGACAAATAAATGGTAAAAATAAATTATGACAATCTCTAACAAAATGATAAACAAATCTTAATTAAACAATCAACTTAAACAGTTAATTACCAAAGATGCACAAAATTGTTTATGCGAATATGACTTTGAATTTTTCTAATAAACATTCATTTTTAATCTAAATACTTTTGTTTTCATTTTACTGCTGCTAACTTCGTGTCAGAACCATGAACTGACTAGGAAAGTTACATAGCACTTACAAGTATATTTATTACATACACTTGAGGATATTAATGTATAGAAGAAGATATAAACAACAATATAACTAGTTTGCTATGAAATCTGACATAATGCTGTTTATTGGTACAATTAGACAACATTGAAGATTGAAAGCCTCTCTCTAAGTATATATATAGGTGTGGGTTGGTTCGATTTAAATTTATTTTGCTGTTTAGTATATTTTTGATACTGATTATTTGTGTGTATATTACATTCCAGTCAACAGTCAACCACCCTTGGTAATGTCATGGTAAAGGAAGGAATGACAATAGTTACTTGCATGCTAATGTTAAACTTGATTAGTCTAATGTTGATGTAAATCGATTGTTTCTCATAAATCATTTCTTAACATGTCTACTTCAGTTTATTAAAACTGTACGAATAAGTAGTATTTGAAAATGATGAATTATTTATTAAAATTTAAATCACAGATGTAATAAAATCAAAACTCAAAAAGCGAATCAAGGTGATCAGTATTGAGGAAAATTATGCCACTACAATACCACAAGTTATACTGAATTAAAAGTAAATAAACTTAATTCACTACTCCAAATGTATTTCAGTGATGATGGATGCTAAAAAGTTAATTGTATGCTTTATTTTAAGCGATTTCAAAACATGTCATTATTTAATAGTATTGTGAATTATACTGCTGTGTGAATAATGTTAATCTGACTCATATTGATCAAAGAACAATTACATATGTTCTTCTTTAAATAAGCATCTTGTAACAGTTCAAATTAAAATAAAATTCTTTGATCAATATAAACAAAACATATTTGCATTACTTTTATCAGTCTAATTCTAGTTGTTTCTCAAGGAAATATACTTACTTATACATCAAAATATCAGAAAGATTACTTACTTAGATTTATGTTTCAATTGGATCATAAAGAAAAAACCAACTGTTTCTTGTTAGTTTTACTTTGTCCATTTATTCCACGTACTAATCAAATTTAAACTTTTGTAACGATGACTTGATCCGATCTCAATTGATTCGACAACAGTTCAAAACAGCAGTAAACCATGAATATTCTAGATATATTTGTTTTGTTTTTTTTTTGCTTGTAGATCAATGAATAGACATTTTATAAAAGAGAATGAAGAAAATAAACAGTTCATATTTAGCATTTTATTATTTTTATCTGTCTAGCTTAACTTTATTTCACAAATAAGAATACATTTATCAAAAAAAAAACACTTCATGTACACAACTAATCAATATTATGATGAGACAACTTCGCATAGAATGGAAGAATAAAACAAGATGAAACAAGTTTTACTTTGATAACAAACACATCAAAATAGAATAAATGAGAAATGAGAAAAAACAAACATTTTAAAGGTGAATTGAATCCAATACAATTTATTCTTACACACAATCATATACAGATATATATATATATTTTTATTGCAGTATTATTGACGTAAAAATTTCTATGTAGCCAGCCACATTATGGCATCAATACAAACAATGTAAAGAAACCACCACAGGTTTAGTCAACTTATCATAAGAAGTTTTAAGTGTATAATGAGAGTGATGTCATTTGTTCAATATGATCAACAAAGTTCGAGTGGTTTTACAATTACAATGCTTGATAAGGATTTTCATGCAAACTTGATCAATGGGATTTTCAGTAAAAGAACGTGGTTGATTTTCAAAAAGTGAAAAAAAAGAGAACTGATGTTATTAAACATATTTAAGTATACTTTTATTTTAATTAATCGACTCCATACTGCATAAAGATCTCAACAAAATCACCTAATTCAGTGAATACGAGTAAATACTAGTTAATATAATAGAACTCAATTTAGTTTATCGTTTGTTTGTTTTCCAAATTCTTTTGATCTGATCAAATCTGATCAGATCAAAAACCGATTAGTCATATCGGCTGTTACACTTTAAATACTTAAAAATTTAAACAGATCACAATACTTTGTGGTAGGGACTCCTTAGCAAGGCGCATCCATGACCACACAAGAAGAAATCGAACACAAGACCTACGACCTCGTTTGTGAACGCTTACTCTATAGACCACTAGGTTAGTGATATCATCTAAGTTCAACCAATTCACAAAATACTAATAATTATCATATTCTCCTTTGTGCCTAGCTTTGAGAAAAGATTCTCGAAGTTCTGGTGAGAAGCGAAGACTAGAAAACTCCAGTCGTGTCGGGTGTGAGGCAGTTACCCATTGAAGAAAATAGACGATGGTCACGCGCTATCACTAACTGGGTGAAGCACCATCAGATATCAGCTTAGTAGTCTGGATGTTAAACATGAACATGAGAGACCGAAGGTTCTGGGTTAGATTTTACGCGCTAGGAGACGTGGATGCTCAATGCTGATGAATATCTGACAAGATTGAAACGGTTGTCCAGTGCTTCTAGGTTTTCACTGGTAGTCTGAAAATGATTGGTTTATGGTTTCATTGATTATAAAATTAGTAGCAAAGTGCACTAAAACCGATATCTCATGTCATGGAATCATTTTCTCCTGAGAAGTTAACTTTCTTCTGATATACAAAACAGAAATATTTGACTATGATTAAGAAACAAACCTAAATGCCTGGCAAACAATATCCGTGATCACGATACCTCCAAAAAATGACAAAATCAGATCACCAACGTTGTGCTGTCAGATAATATTAGAATGTAACTAGATATGCAGATCACATTTCCGACATTCAGTATAAAGGAAACTCGACGTTGTGAAGAATAAAGTTAGATACTACTCTTTAAAGCCACCGATTTACTTATAGAGCCGAAAACCCCAAAGTTTGTTATGCTTCTGGTTGTTAATTTGTTCATCAGTAATTTCTCTAACTATAAGGTCTAGCTCTTTGAAAGTGATGCATTCACATTTCTCCAGTCAAAACCGACTTGTTGTTTTCATTATTCAAACGAATTGAGCAATTAATTTTCTCCATGTGTTTAGTATCTATTTTCTGTATAGTGTCTATAAAAAGTGTCTTGTTTTGCATACATCGTCAACCTGTAGTTAAATAATAAAATATTATTTAAATGTACATCCGCTTGTGTTCTTAACTGGTCGGTAATCTTTCAGGAGTCTAGTTGACTGGCGGTTGCTTGTCATATATTACTACAGAATGACCTGTTTCATTTTTTTTAATGCATTCAATAGTTTGAGTAAACAGTACAATAATAATTATGATTTAAAAGTATTTTCAACAAGTATTTGCAATGAAAATGTTCTGTTCCATTTTAAGTGATTACATACAAACGGTAACTGAAGAACTCATGCAACTGGACATCTGTTCAAAGAGATATGCGCCCGAACGCAGTTGGTTGGTAGACGAGTTTACAGTCTAGAAATAGACAGGATGGTCCAGATGAAATAAGTATATTTGCTTGGGATTTAGCGGTATCAAAATAACACCGAAATCGTTCCAGAGAAAATTGGTGAAAGGCACAGAACATCAAAAGCAAGATGGCAAGCGCGCTGAAGCAAATTATGGTACAAGAGTACGACGTGGTGGCCAGTACCTCACTAGCTTCGTGGCGGTCGGTATTCAGTATATTCTTAGACTTCGTATGCTGCTCATCCAGACAACCGTTACTAAGTAGTGCCTCACGGTTTATAAATCAAGAGAGGGATACGAAAAGCACTGGAAATAGACCACTACACCACATGGACACGAAGCAAAAACGTATCAATAAATGTTCTGTAAAACGTTCAGTGGTACAGTTGATTGTAATAACAAGTGTTGTTATCTGACCAATCGTGTTTTCGTCGTAAAAAGGGAATCACTACATGAGTTTACTCGGTTTACTCTTTTTCACTCCAATCTATTCACGTGCAGTCACGGATTAGTCTTTCCTTCTCATAATCACCAACTCCAGATAACTGAAGTACTTCTGAGAAAAACGTAAAATTATATTTCCATAAATTGGAGGCCAGGTGTAATGGATGTATAAAACATTAATTTCTTTGTGAAATACGATACTTTCGTCTGCGCTCACACAGTTCTTCTGGAGTTTACTTCTGGTTCATACGTGACTATTAGGTACGAATCGCTAGTTCAAATACAGATCTCATACACTTCTGGCTGTTACAGTGGCGTTACGATGGCGAAAAACCCTACACAGATGAATAAAAATTCAGACGGAGATGTCTCTGAAGACTACATAGAGAGGTTTGAAATATAGCATTTGACCTGAAAATATATCATACCTGATAAAATGGTACCTCATATCCTTTCATTCATCATAAAGGATTCGTAAAATTTACTTAATATGCTTATAAAGAGTTT